GAGGATTTTTGTTTTCTTTATGTTGAGGTGTAATCCATACTGAAGGCTGTGGTCTTTGATCTTCACCAGTAAGTGATTCAAGTCCTCTTCACTTTCAGCAAGCAAGGTTGTGTCATCTGCATAACGCAGGTTGTTAATGAGTCTTCCTCCAATCCTGATGCCCCATTCTTCAAGTAGTCCAGCTTCTCAGATTATTTGCTCAGCATACAGACTGAATAAGTATGGTGAAATGATACATCCCTGACGGATACCTTTCCTGACTTTAAACTATGCAGTATCTCCTTGTTCTGTTCGAACGATTGCCTCTTGATCTATGTACAATTTCCTCATGAGCACAATTGTTCTGGAATTTCCATTTGTCACAATGTTATCTATAATTTGTTGTAATCCACACAGTCAAATGCCTTTGCATAGTCAATAAAACACAGGTAAACATCTTTCTGGTATTCTCTGCTTTCAGCCAGGATTCATCTGACATCAGCAATGATACCCCTGGTTTCATGTCCTCTTCTGAATCCAGCTTGAATTTCTGGCAGTTCCCTGTGGATGTACTGCTGCAGCTACTTTTGAATGATCTTTCAGCAAAATTTTACTTGTGTGTATTAATGATATTAATGATATTGCTTCATAATTTCCATTCAGTTCGATCACCTTTCCTTGGAATAGGCACAAATATGGATCTCTTCCAGTTGGCCAGGTAGCTGTCTTTCAAATTTCTTGGCATAGATAAGTGAGCACTTCCAGTGCTGCATCTGTTTGTTGAAACATCTCAACCAGTATTTTGTCAATTTCTGGAGCCTTGTTTTTCACCAATGTCTTCAGTGAAGCTTGGACTTCTTCCTTCAGTACCATCAGTTCTTGATCATGTTATCTCCTGAAATGGTTGAATGTCGACCAATTCTTTTTGGTACAGTGACTCTGTGTATTCCTTCCATCTTCTTTTGATGTTTCCTGCGTCATTCAGTATTATGCCCATAGAATCCTTCACTATTGCAACTCGAAGCTTGAATTTTTTCTTCAGTTCTTTCAGCTTGAGAAATGTCGAGCATGTTCTTCCCCTTTAGTTTTCTAACTGCAGGTCTTTGCACGTCATTCTAATACTTTACTCTGTCTTCCCGAGCCGCCCTTTGAAATCTTCTGTTCAGCTCTTTTACTTCATCATTTCTTCTATTCGCTTTAACTACTATATGTTCAAAAGCAACTTCCAGAGACTCTTCTGACATCCATTTTGGTCTTTTCTTTCTTTCCTGTCTTTTTAATGGCCTCTTCTTTTCTTCATGTATGATGTCCTTGATGTTATTCCACAACTTGTCTTATCTTCAGTCATTAGTGTTCAATGCATCAAATCTATTCTTGGGATGGTCTCTAAATTCAGATGGGATATCCTCAAGGTTGTACTTTGGCTCTCGTGGACTTGTTTTAATTTTCTTCAGCTTCAGCCTGAACTTGCATATGAGCAACTGATGGTCTGCTCTGCAGTCTGCCCCTGGCCTTGTTCTGACTGATGATATTGAGCTTTTCCATCGTCTCTTTCCACAGATGTAGTCGATTTGATTCCTGTGTATTCCATCTGGTGAGGTGCACATGTATAGTTGCCATTTATGTTGCTGAAAAAAGATATTTGCAGTGAAGCAGTTGTTGGTCTTGCAAATTCTATCATGCGATCTCCAGCATGGTTTCTGTCACCAAGGCCATATTTTCCAACTACTGATCCTTATTCTTTACTTCCAACTTTTGCATTCCAATCACCAGTAATAATCAATGCATCCTGATTGCATATTTGATCAATTTCAGACTGCAGAAGTTTGTAAAAATCTTCAATTTCTTCATCTTTGGCCTTAGTGATTGGTGCATAAATTTAAATAGTAGTTGTATTAACTGGTCTTCCTTGTAGGGATATGGATATTATCCTGTCACTGACAGCATTGTACTCCAGGATAGCTCTTGAAATGTTCTTTTTGACAATGAATGCAACGCCATTCCTCTTCAGTTTGTCATTCCTGGCATAGCAGACCATATGATTGTCCGATTCAAAATGGCCAATACCAGTCCATTTCAGCTCACTAATACCTAAGGCTCGATGTTTATGGGTTCCATTTCATTCTTGACAATTTCCAATTTTCCTAGATTCATACTTCATACATTCCAGGTTCCAATTACTAATGGATGTTTGCAGCTGTTTCTTCTGAGTCGTGCCACATCAGCAAATGAAGGTCCGGAAACATTGACTCCATCTATGGCACTAAGGTTGACTCTACTTTGAGAAGACAGCTCTTCTCCAGTAATCTTTTGAGTGCCTTCCAACCTGAGGGGCTCATCTTCTGGCGCTATACCACGCATCTGTCAGTTTGTCATACTGTGGGGGCTTGAATGTTGCTGTGATGCTGGAAGGTATGCCACTGGTATTCAAATACAGCAGGGTCACCCATGGTGGACAGGTTTCAGCTGAGCTTCTAGACCAAGACAGACTAGGAAGAAGGACCTGGCGGTCTACTTCTGAAAACAATTAGCCAGTGAAAACCTTATGAATAGCAGCAGTACATAGTGACCCTAAGAAACGAAACCAAACCCGTTGCTGTTGAGTCAAAGCCAACTCATAGCGACCGTATACGACAGAGCAGAACTGCCCCACAGGGTTTCCAAGAAGCACCTGGTGGATTCGAACTGCCGACTTTTTGGTTAGCAGCCATAGCATTTAACCACTTCGCCACCAGGGTTTTAAAAAACTGATCAATACCCAAGCCGCTCCCCTGGAGATTCTGACTTAACTGGTTGTGTAGGCCCAGGCATAGAGCTTTTCAAAGCTCCCTAGGTGATTCTAAGGCATATCCAGGGTTAAGAACCACTATTACCAGCAATGCCTGGCCAGGTTAGCACCCTGGCCCTTCCTCTCCAATGCAGATCTCTTAAGTTCATACCAAGGAGGTTGTTGTTGTTGTTAGGTGCCATTGAGTCCATTCCAACTGATAGCAAACCTATGTACAACAGAATGAAACACTGCCCAGTCCTGTGCCATCCTCACAATTGTTGCTCTGTTTGAGCCCATACTTGCAGCCACTGTGTCAATCCATCTCGTTGAGGATCTTCCTGTTTTTCTCTGACCCTCTATTTTACCAAGCATGATGTCCTTCTCCAGGAACTGATCCCTCCTGATAACATGTCCAAGGTATGTGAGATGAAGTCTCACTATCTTTGCTTCTAAGGAGCATTCTGGCTGTACTTCTTCCAAGACAGATTACCCAGGAGGTAATGTGGCAGAAATGGAAGTTATCTTTGCCTTGAGAAGACCTTTTCATGAAAGTGCTTCCTGTTTTAACCAGAGTTGACCTTCCGACAAGATAGCCACAGCTATCATTAACCAACTTCACATGCATTCTTTCATTGAATCCTCACCACCCTTACGTAGGTATTAGTTGTTTCCATTTTACAGCTCAGTAAACATGGGGCTCAAACAGAGGTCAGGTAACTTGCTCAAGGTCACAAAGGAAGAGAAGCCGGGTCTGACAGCCATGACACTTTATAAGTCACTCACTGGTTCTTCTGCCACACTTAGGGGTTGCCATGAGTTGGAATCAACTTGATAACTAACACCAGATGCCTGTACAAATTAAACACATCTCATTAAAGAACACCTAACCAGAACACAAAAGACAACAAAAGGAAACTGGAAACTCCTACCCCTCACTGAAAAGTATGTGGATCAGTAGGAGACATGAAGACATCAGAAGAACATTTATGTGAGAACTCTATTTATTGGGGTACCTCTCTTCATTACCATAAGAACAAAGCTCCAGATTAGCCATGTTGTTTTATTTTCACAATTCCTTTGAAATAAAAGACTTGTTTGTAAACATATCCTCGTATATTAAAACTACTTTCCAACCCACAAAGAAGACCCCACTTACCGTTAACTTTTGTAGACACATTTTTCATTTATTCATTTTATCTGGTATACAAAACTCCCACTTTTCGTTAGCAGTTAAAAACAGAGAATCTTGTTTCTCAGATGACTTTCTACCAAGTCACCAAAAGAAAGTCACCAATATCCAAAACTTTTTAAAGCAATAAAAATGTCTGTTTTCCAAAAAGATATTTACAGATTGAAATTCAAATTCCACGTCTGCCATCAATAGAATTATACAAGAGCACAAAAAGCCCTAGGAAAAGTAAAGTATTTAATTACAAAATATTTATGATCAAGAAAATACTGCTGGCCTTTAAATAAAGAATAAGAAATGTGGCAAAAAAATAAATATGTTTAAAGATGCCTATTTTCACAAGTAAAAAAAAGTACACTCATAAAGAACGAAGTTCAATTTTATGCATGAGCTTCGAAATGATTCTAGCAGTGCTTGCACTTATTTGTTACAAAGCGAGGTTGTCTCAGACTCTACTCTCTTGGGGTTCAGTTATAAAAATACAAAAAGAGTCTTGCCAGGAGAGGATTTCACCAAGCTGAATCCATGCCATGAAGAGCCCTTAGAGGTCACAGTAGTAACCTCGGCCTATCGTCTCTAACAAATCTCTTCCACCACTGGATAGTTCTTTCACATGACTGTAAGTTTTTTTTTATGTGCGGACAAAGAAATTCTCCAAATGACCAACAGATGCTGGCCACAAAGAACTTGCTTTAACATTCTAATACAAATGGGCAGTTCTAGTTCAAACAGTATTTTTGAGAGCCAAAGGGTAAAATACTATGTATTTTACAGAAGTCCAACCCTACTTTGCATCAATGTGAATTACAAATTACCTGGAAATCTGTTTTTCTTTTAAATCTATTTTTTTACACTGCACACGTGTACAATTCGTCTGACTCTTTTTCCCTAAATCCTGACTCTCTTCCCTCTGGGCTTCTGTTGGTCTGCAAAGTCCCTAGAGATCTCCTTCAGTGCCTGCCCCATCTTCTACGACCCAGACTAGCTCTGGCCATCTCCCTTTTTTCCTCCTATATCCTCTTCTCTGCACCCCACTGAGATCCCAACACACAAATACAATTACAGCAGCAGGCCAACAATGTAGCCAAGGAAAACACATTCTAGTGAAAGATTTTAAATAGTGTCCTAGAAGATTTTTCACTGAAAATAAATCAGATCACAAAACCGTGACTGGCTCTGACAAAGAAAAATCTATGTTAAAAATGCAATCTGTTAAGACTACTGCCAATGTTAGAAAAGTCTCAATAATTATGTCCAAGAGCTGTAACACACACAAAAAAGTATGTATTAAACAAAGCCTTAAATATTTATCACACTGTAAAACATTGCACATGATATTCAGTCTTTTCTCCTTTTGTCTGCAAGGGAAGCAAAAAGGAAAAGGAAAAAAAAAAACAACCCATCTGTCCAGACCCTAGATTAGGTCTAAGTTGAACATAAGATGCCCAAGGCATGTAGTTGTTCCAGATCAATGCGATGCCCAAACAGTATGAACCTTGGTACTGCAGGGCATGATGGGAGGAATGCTGCATCTCAATCACAAATCCGTGAGGTCAGAGGGGACTGGTCTGGCATGTATAACACCGGTGGGGAGCCCACACTACTTGAAGGACTTCGGAAGTGTAAGTCAAAGGAGCTTGGTGTTATCCCAATCACAGGATCGTTCTGGGGTACTTCACCTTTCAAAAAATCATCATCTTCATCTTCTACCATCTCCTGTGTGAAGAACAGAGATTATCAATAAGATCAAAAGGGGCAGTTTGAAAGATTCTGAGAATTCTTTGCCTCAGGCATGTTCTACTTCTGTAAAGATAAAAACGAAATAAAATTTTGAAAGCTTCCTCTGATACGCTCTTAAATTATGAACCACCCACATAATTCTCACCACACTTAGTTCATATTTGTTTAAAGTGAGATTTTTGAGCAGATTTTAAGCTCCATAACATGATGCATCTGTCTTCCTTGATGTTACAGCCCTTGTATCTAACGCAATGTGAAGGAATGAACGAATGAATGTTCTCCCTCCCAAATGCAAACTATAAAGGAAAAAAGGAGACAGGTACAGTAAAGATGACCTTTAATGTGGAAATAAGTGTGCTTCAAAGAAACAGAACAGTGATACTATTTATCACTGACGGGTACTGGAGGAAATGCTGCAGATCTGTACCTTTACCACACATTCATGATGATCTAGAAACTTAATGTAAACTGGTATAATTTCAACATAAGGCAATTTGAGATGGTTACGTGGTAATGATCAAGTGGTAAAAACCTAAATTGTATGCTTTTGCTGTGTATACTCTCAACAACACAAAAAATAAATTACTAAAAAAACAAGAATCTAAATTTGTGCAGTTAATAGTCATTTAAACTTCACTTCAAAGTCTGGATGTGATGTGTGGCTTAAACAACTAATTAAAAACTCAAAACCTCTTTCCCTAAGAAAAAATAATCTGAGCTTGGAATTTGATAAAAGTAGACTAAGTAACAGATAGTATTTATTTTTTAAGTGTAATATTGCTGTTTACCACCATTTGACTATGATCGTAACCACAAAGAAGATTGCTAGACAGTGTAACGAATCATAAATTCACCTTTTTAATGGGTTTCTTAACCTCCTGAAGCTCTTCAGCACTCATGTCTTCCCATATCTGATAAATAGGATCAATGAATTTCTTTGACCTGCCGACAAAGATCACATCAGTTAAATGAGATTTCGAGGTCAAGGTAAGTACTACAGTGAAGGTCAAAATGTATTTAAGCTCTTTTCTCACAAGACCTGCTTCACAAAATGAGGAAGTGAAAACAATGGCTCAATCATAATGCCAAAAAACACTACACGTAAATACCGTAACTAATGTGGCACTTTTGTTTTTTTAAGGTTCATGCACTCATACAGATGAATCTGTTTCTCATCTTTTCATTTCCAGATGAAACTGTTTCTAAACTTTGCAACTGACAACTGAGTTACAGCATATCCAAATAGTATTCTGAAACTTCCTTTTTTTATATCACTACAGTTATTTGCTAAAAAGAAGTCTGGAAAAAACAACAAATCTGGTTTTAGTCAACCAAGATCTGGTGGACCAGACAATCCCAAGTGTTGCTAGTTAGAAATGTGTAATAAGCAAAAATCCACTTTGTTACACAAATGCAAAGTTCAGACTGGCGTGGTGGTTTTCCAGAATTGCCCAACTAGACAGAACACTTTCGTTTATCCTGTGCCACAGTATGGGATATGGTCTCTAGAGGAAGGAACAAGTCACTTGGCAGACGAGCATTTGAGCTAAGAAAAGGCAGCACTCTCCGTCTCCTGGTACCTCCACTGGCACCCCCTTATATGTTTAAACCAACAGCTTTAAAGAAAAACACAAACAAAACATTCTTGGTGTCAACCTGGGCTCTTACTGAGGTAAAGACCTACAAAAAACCCCGCGTGACTATGGCACCCCACACACGTAATAGCCATTCTCTACTTTGGACCTGTGGCATATGTGAAAGGAGACCATGAGACTCTAAGGAACACCTCAGGAAGGACCACCTGTGATGAAGAGCCCTGAACCCCAGACCTGGGAAAAGCAAGTACGTATTACATTTAAATTCACTGCTGACAGCATCAAATGCCTAGCAGTACCTACCTCTTAAGAACACAGGGGTCAAAGGGGAAGAAGGTGTCAAGTGGGTTTGTGCAGGTTTGTACCGAGTCCCCTCCAGCTGTATTTCTAATGACTGGTAGCATCTGGCGGTTGTTCCTCTCGATGATGGTGTAACAGAAGACTAGCTGGTATTTACTGTGGAACACCGAAAAACAACACAGACTGAGCTGTCACTATGCTGGAATTACTCCGCATGGACGTGACTATTTATGTTAACAACTAGAATGACCACACAGATAGTGCCGAACATAATAAGAGCAAGAAAAAATAACACAAAGCAGAAAGTAATGCTAAATTAGGGAACAGTTCTCAGTGTCTACTATTTACAGATTTGATGAGGAGAAAGGAAATATGGCTATCACTTAGAAGCTCTAGGAGACTGAGTTATATTAGTCAACAAAAACTAAAATGTTTCCAAGGTACAACTCTAGTTTACATAATTATACAGCCTTCTCTCTTTCCTTTTTTTAACTGTTTGAAAAAGAATTAGGGGGTTGGTGAAAAAGAGATTCCAGATTTAGTGAAAGGGAATAATGCTTGTTCGTGAGAGACTTGGCTGTTGATAAAGAAGAAATTAGGACTCTGCTGAGGGATGTGGGGTCGACGGAATAAGGAACTCAGAAGTTAATTAAAAAAACAAACAAAAAATAGGCATTGGTGAGGGAGAACAGTTAGATACTCATAAGAACTTGTAATAAAAAACTAGGGTCATTATGTTTTGTACTCTTTTAGTGGTTACGTCCATATGACTTAGCAACTTTAAAAACCATTCAGTGACTACTCCTGAGATGAGAATTTAGCTCACTTCCGCCACTCTCTACCTTCTGCCCTTCCCTCCCATAGTATTTGTTCAAATATGTATTCCTAGCTCCTCAGGTCACTATTGCAACTTTAAGCAACATATGTCTATTTTTGTTCCATTAGCCAAGGACTGTCTGCTCCCGGTGGGAGTATAAATTAGCAACACCATGCTGGAGAGTCTGTAGAGTCAAGGTGAAGATGTGTATCTCCTACAACCCAGCAGCTGCACTTCTGGGTATGTGACAAGGAAGCGTATGTCTGTACACCAGACACACATATAGAAATGTTCCTAAGCCACTGTTGCCAACACTGAAAAACTTGCACAGCTTAAATCCCAACAAGCGAATCCATGTAAAATATTGAGAGAACATTACACAGCAGTTAAAATCAAAGGTATCTGTATCGTGTCAGTATTGGTGCATTTCAAAACCATTAGGTGAGCAAAAGCAGCAGCCACAGAACGAAACCTGAAGTCCTACGTACAGATCTTTCTTTTGAGCCACTGCTCTTGGCTTCACATCTGACCCCTAACTTCAGTTGCACCTGTCAACCCCAAATCCAGAGCCTCACACTCATCAACTGCAGCCCCTAACCCTTATTCTGAGTATACTCTAGGGGGCAGCTGTCTCCCCTTTGCTTCATCAGTCCTTACTCTTCCAGGTGCCTGTATAATCCCTCCCCTGAGAAATGTCCTCACTAACTACTCTTGCTGGCTGTGGGGTTAGTTGTTCCTTTTCTTAATCCTTTACTATCATTTTTGAAATTCTAGGAGACATAGGCCCTCATCACCTTGAACTACATGCTCCGCAAAGGAGAATTAAGGTTGCTGAATGAGGTGAGACTGAGGAATGAAAAGGAATCATTTTTGTCTTCTAATAGAATAGTCACTCATCTGTTGAGGACTTTAAGTTGTGGTCCTGCCTGAATACCCTGATTAAGTGTAACGGTCTCCAATTCACTTTCTACATGAAGCAGAGTAACAATGCTTCTGATGGAGCCAGAATGCCTGCATTCAAATCTCAGTTCTACAACAGTTTAGCTATATGACCTCTGGCCGGTTATTCAGCGTCTCTGTGCCTGTCTTCCCATTTATAAAACAAACCTGTGGCCATCGAGTCAATTCCGACTCATAGCAACCCTACAGGACAGAGTAGAACTTCCCCCATAGGGCCTCCAAGGATGTAATCTTTATGGGAGCAGACCACCACATCTTTCTCCTGCAGAGCGGCTGCTGGGTTCGAATCGCCGACGTTTCAATTAGCAGCGAGAAATTAACTACTTTGCTTCTTTCCTCCTTAACTACCAGGGCTCCTTTCCCATTTATAAAAACGGAGTTGTGTAAGGATGAAATGAGTTCCATGTAGAGTGCTTAGAACTGTGCCTGGCACACAGTAAACGCTATGTATTAGCAATAGCGACAAGGCCTGAGACGATGCTGTCTCTCACTAACGTAAATTATTGCTGGCCATCTGTCTCACGTGCAATTTATTTTTATTATTATGACAGGGGTCTCTCTGATAAATAAGCATCTTCGGATTGTACCTCTCAGCTTACTAGTTGCCTTACTGATTTCAAAATGCCCTGGCTTTTGTTGAATTATTTCCTTTGGATAAAAAGTAGTAGCAATTTCCAATGTCATCAAAATATAAAAACAAAGCTTCAATGCAGCATTTCCTGCAAATACTGGGCTATCTTTTTTTTTTTTTAATGTTGTGTTGTTACTGTTATTAATTTCACAGAAATTTAGTGGACTTTTACAATATTAACACAAATCTCCTTTTAAATAACTTCTAAGAAAATGTAAATAACTTACCTTGTGATAGAAGCAAAAAAGTTCACTACTGAGGGCAGGCAAATCTTCAGAGGGTTTAGCTGACTCATGACTATGCGTTCAAAATTTAGACTTTGAAGGTACCGCAAACCTTTGATTAAAAAAGAAAAGATTTTTTTTAAAGGTACAAATACAATTTAAAAAGAGGCTTGGTGGCATGACGGTTAAGCGCTCAGCTGCTAACTGAAAGGTTGGGGGCTCGAATCCACCCAGTGGATTCTTGGGAGAAAGACCTGGTGATCTATCTGCTCCTGTAAAGACTATAGTCTAGAAAACCCCATGGGGCAGTTCTGCTCTGTCACTTGGGGTTGCTACAGGTGAAATCAACTCGAAGGCACGTAACAGTAACAAGATATCTTTATAAGCACAGACTATTTCACAGATTAAAAACTATTTGTGAAAAAGCTTTAAATAAAAGTACATGTAGATACACATGTACAGCCACGAAGAACGTCACTAAGCTAACCACACTAGTTTATAACTAAGCCTGTTTTTTCAAAGGTGAATTAGAAAGCAGTTTATTCTTTTGAAGACCCAGTAAGTAAGGCATATGTTCCTAGTGGGCTATAAGCCTATATGTGACAGTTTGGAATTCAAGTACTGGTAAACTTAGCATATGCTGAGTTTATATGGGGGAAGAAAAGACCACTTGATCTCAGCTGACTATCATGAAACCATAAAGTCTTCCTGAGAGAGCAAAGTTTTTTAAACATCACATATGGTTATAATTATGACTGTAAAAACGTCTCCTCCTCGAATTCCTTCAATATATAAGCCAATCTGATAGGTAACAAAAGAAAAACCAGCAACTCCATTTTAACTTGCACGTCTTAAATTATTAGTGAAGGTAAGCATCTTTTTCAAGCGTGTATTAGTTGTTTGTACTTCAAATTTTCTTTACAAGGAAACTCTGGAGGTAGAAGGAAAACTTAGAATCACTGTCCTAGAACTAACGACTCTAATTCTCTCCTATATTAGTTCAACAAAGACACTGCACATAGAGGCAAGACCAACTTGAGTAAGTACATTTTTCTTAAAAGGAGTTTCTTTGATGTATAGTTTGATAAAAATGATGTAAATGAAATGATGTCATGGCTTCCAAGAAATCTATCTTCTTTAACCAAGATGCCAGCCATCTATTTACACAAAGAAAGGCAGAGATTTTACTAACCTCTCAAAGTCATTCTAGAAAGCCTAACCCTATCAGTGCTTCATATAACAAATTTTAACCTGCACATCTTTTTAGATGTATGCAGAATGTAAATAAATAAATATGTATGTACAAAAGTTTCGGTTAAGTGCTGTGGTTCTCAACCAGGGCCAGCTGCGCCCCCCAGGGCATTTGGCAATGTCTGGAGACAGTTTTCGTTTTCACAAGTGGGGTGGGGGGGTTGCTACTGGCATCTAGCGGGATAGAGGCCAGGGATGCTAAGCATCCTACAATGCCCAGGACAGCCCCCTTCAATAAAGGATTATCCCGGGCAAAATGATGCTGGTGCTGAGGTTGAGGAACTCTGGTTTACAGGAAACAGCCTATTAAATCATTTGAATTATTCGTGAAAATGAACAAAGTAACTTAAATTGCTTTAATTACGTTATTCTTAGGAACTATATCGCCTAAAACGTACTCATCTAATTAACAAGCTTCATTTGGTAGATTTAAAAGATAAATTAGCAAAACTGAACACTGGCATATGAATTCTCAACTCTTAGGTACAGGAGCACAGCTGTGTGACCACAGGCTTTTGATTCAGCTTCATCTGGGTTCAGATATGTGATTCTTGGGCAAGTTACTTCTCCATGCTTTGGTCTCCTCTTCTGTACAGTGGGAAGGACACCTGTACCTCACTGACCTGTTCCAGGGACAAGGGGAGGGTGCACAGAAAGCCTCGTGCACAGAGCAAGTGCTCAGCCTCACCTCTGAAGAAAGTGTCTTCACATTTCACACCGACTTAAGAGGCGACCCTCAAATCCATCAACTGTTAAAAGAGGAGGTCTAAGGGGCTTTTTTAGCTGCCGTGTAGTCAGCCCCCATCTTATGGTAACATCGTGCATAACAGAATGAAACGCCGCTAGTCCTGAGCCATCCCCATGATGAGTGGTGGATCCGACCTTTGTGCTCCAAAGGGTTTCACTGGCTCATTTTCAGAAGTAGACTGCCAAGCCTTTTTTCCCAGTTCATCTTAGTCTGGAAGCTCTGCTGAAACCTGCTCAGCATCATAGTAGCACACACGCCTCCAATGATGGATGAGTGGTGGCTGCACATGAGGTGCACAGGCCGGGAATCGAACCTGGGTTTCCCACGTGGAAGCAGGGAGTTCTACCACTGAACGACCTGGCCTATAAAAGTGTGCTATTACCATAGTTTTCCACATATAACATGCCCATGTAAGTAACGTGCCCACACATATAATGCACATAGTGTGCCTAATAATGCATGTGGGGGTTGTGTAGTTGGCAAAAATATGTATAATGCACGTTGTTTGAGTAAAATATAATATCTGTAAAAGTTTGAGTGCGTGTGCATTTTCTGGATCCAGAATTATCACCAAATTCTTAAAAAAAAAAAAAGCCATTCTAAAGGGTGACAAGTACACAATGAAAATCCAGTCTGTGTCCATACGTCTTAAAACCCTCTTCACTGACCTTCCTTCAGATTTCCACTTAAAAGCTGCTTGTGTCTAAAAACAAAAGTGTAGAACACAGCTTGACAGGCTGAATAAAACGGTCCATGGAGGGCAACATCACAAAAAGCCTTCGTTCCCGAATCCTGGTTATTAAGGTATATGTGCAGCCAGTTAACCAAAAGATCTAGGCATGATTTTACAGTACTAGAGAAAAGAAAAATTTAAGTTAACTTCACTTGCTTCATAAACAAACTAGCGAGACATAAAAACACACCATTGCCTACCATTATATGCTATGAAAAGTAAGCCTGAAGCTTCTTTATGTACCACCCCTGGGCATAAAAGAGAAGCAAACAAAGGAAGGAAAAGGATGGGTGGGTGGGAAAACAACCTTCCAGTTATACAAGGTAGAGCCTCGCGGATCTTCTAGAAACACGTAGGTCCCTAAGGATGTCTAAAGCCCCAAGGGATGGGGAACAGTTCTTCCTAGTCAACTCAGAAGGGCTTCTCCAGTGGCCTCCCAGCTTTCTATGTGATATAGCCAAAGAATGGGACATGTTACCAACATCCTATAAGGGAAAGAGTCTGGTTGACTTCACCATTCCCTTCGGGGTCCTGATGAAACCCTGAGGCCAACAATTTAGGGCCAGAATGGCCAGCGGACTTTTAGTTGTTGGGAGGATTTTTAACAGCATCCTTGCCCAAAGACATCTTCAGGGATTACTGGAAGAAACAGGCCCAGAGCTGGCCCTCCTGGGTAGGTCTTTCTATTACCTTTAAAAGGGTTTTTCTTCACCTTTAACAGATACAATTGATTCGGAATGCAAATGAAAAATGACAAACCTACAAAAAGAATCAAAACAGTATACAACATTGCACTATCCATGAAGTGCAACCACACAGAACAGATGACAAAAGCTTTACATATGAGGCTTTATATCTAAAAAAGAGATACTTTTTAAAAGTTGCCTCTTGGAAATATCAACATCTCTTAAAGAGTGGGGGAACAGACTTCTTCACAAGTAAAGGCAGACCAAAAAATAAGGCAGATATTTCTCCAACTTGAGACACTGCTATAATCTTTTTAAAGCATGATATGAAAAAGTACTTGGAAAATTAGGTTACTTACATAAGAGGAACAAATTTAGCTCTTGCCAGGAAGCTTCCAATATAATTTCCAGCAGCTTGCCTGATGATGGCAGGATTATTTGGATCCTGCAATTTTTTCCAGAGATGTTCCAAAAATGCTTCTGCAAATCCCTATAAAAAGAGAAGGTGTTAATCTGATCTTTCTTAATACCTAAGACACTCTGGTTACTAGAATCCTAAGATTTTAGATCACCAAGGAGGGAAAGTTCTGATACCTCAGTTACACTGCTAGATAATGAATAAAGTTATTATGGTGCTTGTTTTTAAAACACCCTGAGAAAATACTATTAAAAACAAACAGGCATCCCAAGTGTTAAATAATCCAGTGGATTCTAAACCTGGCTGAGCATCAAAATCAACAAGGCTACAGATTCAGTAGCTTTTGTGACAGGGCTTTGGAATCCACCTATTTTAAAAACTCTATAAGTGATTACTCATGCTCAGCCAGAATTAGAAACCAGTGATAACACTCGCAAGGAATTCCTTCTATGATACCTTAGAGTTCAAAGTATTCTTCCAGTCTTCAACTACACATATTGATCTCACCCAGAAAGAGAACTGTGGATTTAACTATAGTCTGTTTTCAACAAATTCCACTAATCATGGAAAAAAACAGACTAACTAAGCTTCCCTTTAACAAAGGGTACAAATCCTCTCCTTCCTCCAAACAGCTCTTTTCAAAAACTATTAACACACACTTCTGGGTAGTATGAGTTTATCCTTCTTGTCCATCACTAATACTCTCCTGACTGTTCTACGAAGCAACAAAAGAAAAGAAAGAACCGTCCATGATTGTTTTTCCCCAAAAAGAAAGCAAAAAGCCTAAAAAGGTTTAAAATTCTGGATTAAAAAGTTGGTTTGGGTTATTTAGGACTCAACCCTGGGAGATAATAAAGAAAATAAACAGCTAAATACTGCATATATGAGACTTTAATAAACTGAATTTTAATGAACTGAAAGGAAGGGCACCACCTAGTGGATGCAGGATGATATTTTCAGAGCACTTGGCTGAGTTGACAGGTGGCAATTAATTTCTTCTGCTCTTTCCATGTGTTGAAAAGGGAATGCGATTTAATTAGGAGGTACAGATAAAATGACAAGCTCAAGAAAAAGAATCAGAAATACTCACCTAAAGAATTTATGGTCTCCTCCACCTCCCCCATTTCTTAAGGGAAAAAATGTTAGCGGGCAAGAAAAAAATAAGCTAAGATGATGTTAATGACATTCTTACTCACCAATTTGAAGCTACAGAGGTAAAACATAAAAAACTGTACATGGCAGGAGGCGTGGGTGGGCAACAGGAGTTTGTCAAAGATGGTTATCAGATCTCGATATAAATCCTTTGTTTTGTTGTTATCAACCTTACCTGTGGGAAAATTTGGCATTTCAGTTTCATAAATACAATTGCTAAGCTAGCACTGTTTTAATTTGCCAACTTTGTTAAAATGAAGCAATACCATTAAGAAACACGATAGTATCCATTAAACAATGATTTACATAAGTGCCATTTTTACTTTGCACAGGTCTTTCTTTCCAGGAATACTAATCATGTAGTACCGGCAAGGAGGTAGGCCTTTACCACACACACTGCTGCAGGGGCTTACGTATGAACAACCTTCTGGAGGATGTTTACAATTCACGTAGCAGCAGCCCTATGGCAGTAAGTCTATTGATAGGGATTTACTAGAAGCAAAAAACCAAAGATATATGCACAAAGATGTTCATTACACTGTTATTTATAATGCCTCCCCCGACCCCCCCAAAAAAAAAAATCAGGAGAAAAAAATTAAGAAGACCTGTTAAATCCACATGATGAAATGCTACTCCATCAGCTAACAACTGTGTTTTAGGGAAACAGTGAATTGTATGAAAACAGCATTCACAACAGTCAGGTGAAAAAGGCAGGTTATGAAATAATATGCATAGTGTGACCCCAAATCTATTAAATTAAAAAATACACACATAATTATACATACTCTAACAGAAAAGGAAAAAATAACAAACATATCAAAATGCTGATAATGGTTCTCAATGGACGGAATGTGCTTATTCACCCTGTCTTTATCCTTTCCGTATTTCCCAAATTTGATCGTCAATACTTCTTATAACAGGAAGAAAGTTACAATAGTAACATAGTCAACTTAGATTCAAGTACTATTATTCTCAGTGATTGATTTCATTCTTAAATCTTAGCAATCAATGTGAATAGAAAAAATTGTTTTCTTCATGGCAAAGCCACTAGACTAAAAGCTCCATGAGGGCAAGAAGCATCAGATCAGCTTGCTCATGACCGTACCAACACCTGGCACAACAAAGAACTGAGCAGACCCTCTAAACTCAATGCATAACACCAAGCACCGCAAATTAATGTCTAGTGCACCATTCCTAAATGCTTCGAGCAACTTGAGTGTAATGTGATCCCTGCCGAAAACTGACCAAACTCCACATATAATCTTTTGATACAATATTCAGAAAAAAAATCAGGGGCTTTGAAAACAGATATAATTGAGCCTGAATCCCAGCCCCACCATTTTCAAGCTATGCCACACTGGGCAGTAACTTGACCTCTCTAAACCTTCTTTTCCTCATACTCAAAACACTAATTTTATCAGATTTTTACCAGTGCTAGAGATAAGGTATGTAAAATGCCTAGCAGAGAAGCAGGTGTAGTGTAGGTGATAAACATACAGCAGCTATTGTTATTATTACAGGCTGTTACCGTCTACGTAGCAGACGTCCTTAACGTAGGACAAAAGTAAAGACAGCAGGACATCCAGGCGTTCAGCTACAGGATGTACCATGCGATCAAGCTGTGCAGGATCAGCCTCTGTTTCACCTTTAGTTTCTTCATCTTCGTCCTTTAAAGATACAGAAAAAACTGACATGAAAACAATGAAAATACACAGACATCTTTCCAGACAGGGGCTCTCTACCGGGGATATGAATCACAACCATTTGCAGAGTTTTAAAATAAAAGCACAGATCCAGTGTTCCAGCCTCAGATTCCCATTTAGAAGACCCAAGACCAAGCAGGGCCTGGCCATGCAAACATGACAGATTTCCCCAGTGTGGTGGGCAATGTTGGTATCAGGGCCCCTTGTCCAGGCCAGGAAAGCCACACCCCAGCTGCTGTGAGCGTTGGCAGCCCCCTTCTCCAGAGAGCTGCCCTCAACAGAACAGGAGCCAGGGCTGCCCTTCCACTCCCTCCCACCCCTCCCCCTCAGAGCCAGTGACTGAAGAATAAGGGGTCACAAGAGGTCATCTCCCTGATCTCAAGCTGGGACCAACTCTGTGGTACATTTATGCTCCAGAGCTCTTAGAGGGATCAGGCTGTGGCTACTTTCCAGCTGAAACCAATCCCTCACGTAACTCCTTCCCCTGCCTTTTCCTGCTTCCTCACACCCTTTGTCCCAAGGGCATACGAATCCCTGTCTCAGACTCCCCTTCCAGTCAACTCAACATAAGAGACCACCCCAGGTAGAGAAGTACCGCTCCAAGGCATACAATCTATAAAACACAGAAATCAAATGGGTATGCTTTTCTGTTTATCATCCCTTCATGAACTATATGTAGCTTTAAAAAAACAAAACAAGCATCTAAGATTCCAAGGAAAAAAAAAAAAAAAAAAACATCCTGAACTCCAAACCCAAATTCAAAGCCTTGGAAATAAACCAACTATACTAGGCAATAAGTAACAATAGCAATAAACCGCACATGTAAGAAATCATTTTCAATTTTCAGTGATTTCTGAGCCTTTGGTTGTCTTGAAATTATGGACTGTGTATGTTTCCTTTATTAATGAAATGCTGACCATATTAAACAATCCTTCTGTGGCATCTGTCCCACCACTAGTTTGAGCTGCTGTTTCCTCAGCATCTTCAATATCTTGCCGGGATGCATTCACCTACATTATAACAAAGGGGAAAAAAAGAATAAAGGCGTTTAAAATACACTTATGTTATTTTGGGGCTGGAAATTCATCTGACATATACATACTTTAGAGATGTTCAGATTAGTACCTTATATAGCACCATAAAACACTACTTATGGTTAAAACCTATAAACTGATCTGGACCATTAAAGAATTTACAAGATTATAAACCAAGCTCCCTCTTAGATAAAATAAACACAAACTACACGATGCTCTAAATCAGGCAGCCTCAACAAATCCAACATTTACTTCATCTCTTACTATGTACCAACACTCACATACATGTTGTATAAGGGTATTATCAATCAACTGAACAGAAAAATGATGAAATACAAGCCAAACTTAAATATTTAACTATTTATTTTGGTATTGCACTTCAAATATCTTGTTTATGTACTACTCAAATAGTGCAATTTTTTACTATTCAATACATGACCTCCTTTCTAAATGTACTCTAAACTGTCCCTTAGGTAAACATCAGAGAAAAACTTTACAAGATTAGGCAGGCAACTGACCAGAGAGATCTAACTCCAAGTTAGCAATTAGCCAGTGTGCTGAATCGCCAGCTCCTCCAAGGCCTACCTCATTACATCTCCCTTCTTCACCAAGTCTCACGTCCCCAATCCTAAAATATGCCTTCTCTCACCCCCGCTCCATCCCCTCCTTTCACCACAAAATCCCACAAGATCTACAAGAGCCTGCATTTCCTTCTTTACTGAGACTGCCCTTTGGAAGGCAACAAAGATCGTCTTCTAATAAGCAAAACCAGCGGGATCTTTGCTTTTCTCATCCTCCTTAAAAACGTTAGGAATATGGGATGCTGTTGACCAAATCCTTCCTTCCTTCAGATCCTCCCCCAGTATCCATACTTTTGGTTCTCCTCTCACTTTTGGGCCCTCCTCCTCTGCCTTATCCTTAACTGCATCATTACACAGGTTTCTTCTCAGTCCCTTACCTGCAGCTACAACTGCTTAGTGAGTATTCTCCATCTAGCCCTCTACCCTACCCCATCCAGCAGCTCAACCTTTCCAGAATGAAACTCATCATCTTCAAATTTCCTCCCCTTGACGTTTCTTATTGTTGTTAATGACAACACCATGATTCTATCCCACAGGAACTACCTTTGACAGATTCCTTTCCCTTATCCCCTACTTCTCCACTTCCACCTCTGCTTCAAGGACAATTTCACCTTTCCTCTAATGTCCCGAGAATCCACCAGTTCCTTTTCATTCCCCCTGGACCTTAGTTCAAACCTTGGAGGGTAGGGGGGAAATTTACTAGTTGACAATTATAATTTGCCTCTGTAAAAAAAATTCAAGAAAAAAAAAATCCAAACACCAAATAAGGTATAAAAATCTCAACTCAACCTCACTCCCTTACAAATGCCTGACGCCCGACTACATTAGGTTCACCTCTCATAATAATGCACGTACTTCACGCATGGCATTTATCACAAACGTACTTTTAAATCTGTGACTAATAAATGCCTTTTGCCAACTGTGAGAGATGGAACTGTTGTTCATAACCCCCAGCACATAGGTAAGAGTTCAAGAAATACTGCTGAAAAGAAGTGAATCAATGGAGAGTGGAACTGTGGATTCTTTTTCATTGTTAGTGTTGCTTCGCATGTGATTATGACAAATATGAAAATCAAGGAGAAAAACAGATTATTCCATACTTACATCCAACTTGAGTAGCTTTTCAATAATAAGCTCTAGAATTTCGTGCCTCAAGGTTGGAAAATACACACTAATCCTTAGTAAGTTATGAACATAACATTCCTAAAACATCAAACATAAATATACATTTTCAGAGAATGTTTCATAATTATGCAAGCAACCATCAATTACAGTCTTTAGTTTCAAATATCTAAACAGGAAAACACACTATCTAGCAATACAGAAACAATGTCTGTGAATCTGCAAAGTGTACGTAAGCAAAATCTAAAACTGGAAATCTAGTTCAGCATAATTACTCTATTAATTACCCTCGGTAATTTGTAATTTGTATACTTTTATAGTGATTTCTTATAAATAGCTTTATTGAGGTAATTCATATACCATACAATCCACCCATCTAAGGTATACAATCAATTTCAGAACATTTTTGTCATCCCCTCAAAAAATCCCATATCAATTAGTAGTCACTCTCCAATCCCCTCCAACTCCTGGCCCCAGCCAACCATTATTTGCTTTCTACTCTATGGATCTGCCTATCCCAGACATTTCATATAAATGGAATCATACAACATGCGGTCTTTTGTGACCGGCTTCTTTCACTTAGTATAATGTTTCCAAGGTTCATCTATGTTGAGGCGTGTATCAGTAATGCATTCTATTTTATGGCTGAACAATATTCCACTGTATAGATATACCACATTTTGTTTATCCACTCATTAGCTGATGGACATTTGGGTGGTTTCCACTTTTTGGCCATCATAAAACATATGTGTGCAAGTTTTGTGTGGACCTATGTTTTCAATTCCCTTGAAGTATAAGTGCTGGGTCATATGGTAACTCTATCTGTAACATTCTGAGAACTGCCAGACTCTTTTCTAAAGCATACACATAATTTTACATTGTTACCAGCCATGTATGAAGGTTCTAATTTCTCTACATCCTCGCCGACACTTGCAATTGTCTGTCTTTTTCATTGCAGTCATACTAGTGGGTTAAAGGAAACCCTGGTGCCGTAGTGGTTAAGAACTACATCTGCTAACCAAAAGGCTGGCAGTTCAAATCCACCAGGCGCTCCTTGGAAACTCTATGGGGCAGTTCTCCTCTGTCCTATAGGGTCGCTAAGAGTTGGAATCAACTTGATGGCAATGAGTTTGGTTTAGTTTGATTTTTAGTAGGTTAAAAGTGGCATCTCGCTGTGGTTTTGATTTACATTTCCCTAATGACTAACGATGTTGAATATCTTTTAGTGTGCTTATTGGCCATTTCTAGATCTACTTTGGAGAAATGTCTATTCAGATCCTTTGCCCATTTAATTGGGTTATTTGCCGTTTTACTGAGTTATGAGTTCTTTATATATTCTAGATACGAGTCCTGTATCAGATATATGATTTACAAATATTTCTCCCGTTCTGTGGGTCACTTTCTTGACGGATGTCCTTTGAAGCACAATTTTGATGAAATCCAACGTATTCACTTTTTCTTTGGCTATTTGTGCTTTATGTGTCATATGTAAGTACCGTTGCCTAGTCCAAGGTAACAAAGGTTTAATCCCATGTTTTCTTCTAAGAGTTTTACTTTATATTTAGGTCTTTGATTCATTTTACTTTTTGTATATGATGTGAGGTATGGGTTCTGCCTTTTTTTCTTGCATGTGGATATCCACTTGTCCCAGTACAATCTATTGAAAAAGACAATTCTTTACCCATTATCTTATCTTGTACAGTTGGTTTTTGTATATTGATCTTATATCCTGCAATCTTGCTGAACTCATGTATTAGCGCTATTAGGTTTTTGCTTATTTTTTTTTGTGGAGTCCTTGTTGTTGCCAGATGCTGTTGAGTCGGTTTTAACTCATAGCAACCTCATGTGCAACAGAATGAAACACTGTCTGGTCCTACACCATCCTCACAATCGTTGTTGTGTTTGGGCCCATTGTTGCAGCCACTGTGTCAATCCGCTTCATTGTGGGTCTTCCCTTTTCACTGTCGCTCTACTTTACCAAGTATGTTGTCCTTCTCTAGGGACTGGTCCCTCCTGATAACGTGTCCAAAGCACATGAGACGAAGGTTCGCCGTCCTTGCCTCCAAGGAGCATTCTGGCTATACTTCTTCCAAGACAGACCCATTCATTCTTCTTCTGTGTTTTATTGACTATGCGCATTTGACTGTGTGGATCATAACAAATTACTGATAACATTGCGAAGGATGGGAATTCCAGAACACTTAATTGTGCTCATGAGGAACTTGTGGAGTCCTTAAGATTTTCTATATATAAGATCATGTCTTCTGCACACAGAGGTAGTTTAGTTCTTCCTTTCCAACCAAGATGCCTTTTATTTCTTTTTCTTGCCTAATGGCTGTGGCTAAAGCCTGCGGTGGCAAGCACAGACATCCTTTTGTTATGTTTTGCTCCCAGTTTTAGGGGGAAAGTTTTTAGCCTTTCACCATTAAGTATGATGCTAGCTGTGAATTCTTCCTAGGTGCCCTTTATCAGGTTGAGAAGGATCCCTTCTGAGTGTTTTAGTCATGAAAAGGTATTGGAGTTTATCAAATGCTTTTTCTGTATCTACTGAGATGCTCATAGTGGTTTTTTGTCCTTTATTCTATTGATACGGTATATTAGTTAATTTTCAGTGTTAAATCAATCTTACATTCCTGGGATAAATCTCACTTGGTCATGGTATATAATTCTCTTTAAATGTTATTAGATTTGGTTTCCTACTGTTTTGTTGAGGTTTACTGTATCTGTGCAAGGATACAGTGGTTTTTAGTATTCTACTTCAAGCAGACTACCACAAAAATTAGCAAACACTTTAATGCCTTATTTTATACAAGTAATACCTTGCTTAAAAAATAATCTAAACTTAGAAAAAAGCCAGTAAAATTATTTAAAACTACACCGATGATCTAAATATTGCACAAAAACTTAAACAGAATTAATCTACAGAAAGTTCTTTTATGTTCAAATAAGGAATGCTTCTATTTAGTTATATATGAACTATCTTCTAGTAATTCTTATCTGTTTAAGCATTAAGCTTATAAAAGAATTTCTCAAATAGACTCTGCCCTTGACTTGCCCATAGTAATAAGAGAAAAAGGCAGTAGGAATCCCCAGTTAGTCATTTGATAAGAAAGGAATCTGGGTCAAATTCCTAGTCTTGGGTTTAAAAGTCTCAAAGACAAAACAACTTTTAAAAAAAAGATATAACATCATCTCAAACTAAATCACACAATACTTTTCCATTAAAGATTTCTTACCAATGTTCTCTCTGATTTTCGAACAAATGGAAATTTTTCCACCAGTATTGGCATAAGAAACCACGGTGTCCTGTGAGAAATTAACCAATCAATGTTAACTGGACTGTCCAGAAAGATTTAACAGTACCACTGAAGAGTAAATATGGATAGATACAGAAAGCAAACGGCAACCCTTACCTCAACTGATTGGTTGTTAAAATAAACACAAACTTTCATCAGAAAAAAAATCTACGACTTAGGGGAAAGAATGTTTCCAAAGTTATATTTGAAAAGTATACTAACTTTGATACCAAAAAGCAAATGAAAGAGAAAACTTTTTTCCACATTCGCTTCCATTTAAAATCTAAACAGTTTCCAGTACACATATATTATGTTAAAAACGGGAGAAGTTATCAATTTTGATTTTTCAAAGCTAACAAATAATAAATTAGAAGTCCTGTTGCCCTTCAAAAGAAACCCACAAACCTGAAAAGCTGTTCTTAGAGCCATCATTTTTACTCATATGTCAGGACACAAACACACAATGGGGTTTCTCACTGAAAACTTTTGGATATTGTATCTGCTGAATATAAAAGCAAAATTCTAACCACTACATAAAGTTTTGAGGAAAATCTACATACAAGTTTTGAAAAACAAAATTAAAAGACAATGTGATGGTTCATCAATAGGACACCAAAAAACAGGCATACAATGAGAGTTTTGATGGTATTAATATTTTATCTTTTTCTAACTGACTAGAAAATTTTGAGAATTAAACACAATTCCAAATAAATATCAAAAGCATACTCACGATGGGACATATCTTGCTATTATTTGCAAGGCTCTGTGACATGTGTCAAAATTTGCAGGAAGATCTATAAGGAGAAAAGTGAGAGTGTGAGCATCAAAACAAAACTTTAAAATGAAAAATTATGTACCGGGAACTAAAAATACCTGTTAACTACAACTGAATGATTTATTGGCGAAATAATCTCTAGATTTTGTCTGTAACCAACTGTCAGTGAAGACTAAATGGACGAATTCTATCAGTAATGCATTTAGGGCAACTGATTGCACATTAATGCTGTATACAACAGAAGATTCCATCAAAGGTGGTCATTTGTTACAGTCTACGTATTGGAATAGATCCCAGAGTTCCCAGTATACTTCTAACATTCAGCAAGCATTCTTGAAGACACAGGAGGCATTCTTTATACTTACTATCATCTTCATCATCAGAATCTGAAACATCCACGTCACCTTCCTTAATGATCACTCGGGCTTTGGAGAGAAAAAGAAAACATGCTATTCTTCTGTCATTGACCTAAACAACGAACAGCTATATAAAAAAGCTATTTTTTTCCAGAGTCCAAACTTTGTACAATGCATACATATTAAATTTACAATCTGAAAATAGTAACTTTATAGTTTTAAAATTTTGATATAAGAGTTCTAAGACTCTGTCAGAAGCTCAGTGAAGGTAACTGCAACCCACAAAATTCACAACAACAAATGAATCTAGACACCTTCATAGAGGCCATTATTGGAAGGAGAGATATTCCAGAAACTGCTGCCAATATGTACTCTGAAATCTTCCACGGTGGTACAATCTCAAAAGTATACTGGGAAGGTAGTATTTTTATAGAGAGATATTTTGAAAAATCAAAGCAAGCAAAGAATAACCACTTACGAGGTACAAAATGAGAAGCAATCATGCTGAGACATGGTCTAAGAAAGACAGTCTGTGCTGATACAAGGTTACCAAGAAAAGCCAAGTATTCCTCCACCACTTCTTGACTTCTATTCAACCACTGCAATCTCTACAGTTGGGAGGGAGAGGAAGATAATAAAAACATGTTACTGATACAATATATACTGTTATCAAAGTGCTAATCCCTGAAATAAACGGTGTACTTACCAATAGGATACTGACAAGCTGTTCAAAGTCTTTTGTCAAGTACATGATGGAAGAGCGGAATTCCAGCAGCCAGTTAATGATCTGGTCATCCTTAAGTTAAACAAAGAAAAGTACTTTCAAAATCACAATCCTCTAAAATAATTAAGGAAAAAAAGACATGCTTGCATCAATTGCCTATCAATATTAGAGAAAAAAAAGAGAACCTAGTAACTCTGATATACAGGAAAAAGATTTCATTAAATGTAGTATTTCAGGTCTGATGACTTTTGTTCACCCTAAAAAAGTAAAAGCACCTCTGTGGTGAAATGAGTGCTTTTATGTGGTCTTTTGCTTTGGTTCTTTGAAAAAACAGCTTGAGAGATTTTTTCCCTCTAAGCCCTGAGGAGTTACCTTTGCCCTAGTTTTCTACCCTAGAGTTTGTTACTTTTGTCCAGGTTGACTGATATCTCCTGGGTAAACTGTAGACAACTTGATGGTTTGATACTTTTTGTCTAGCCCTGGGCTGCAGTCTGCCCTGTGATTGGTTTGTTTTACGCACCTTGCAGGGATTGGCTGGTTTACTATGCAAATTGAGTGACTTGAGGTCCACCGAGGGGATTGGTCAGTTTGAGGTCCTGCTGGGAGGGCCATGCCTGGAAATTACCAAGGATTTTGCTTGTATAAGCAGCCAACCCCACAGAGGTTTTTAGAGGTGAGAAGAGAGAAGAAGCAAAAAGAGAGGAGGCAAGGAACCTCTTAAAAGAGCCGTAACACTGAAGACAGCAAGAGGCCTGGATGAGGCCCTGCAGAAGAGATGGCAGTGATGGCAGAAAGCTGCTGCTAGGAAAGCAGCTAAGAGATCCAAGCAAGCTGCTACACTGGCTATAAGCTGGACCAGTTAACAGTGGAGAGGCCAACAGCAGGGAGGCCTGCACAGCCGAGAGGGGGCCTGCTTGTCTACATGGCCAAGAGGAGCTGAAAGAACTGTCCTGCACTGCAGAAGGGAGGGGTATGCTCTCCACTTTGGGGGAGCCTTCCAGACCTTGCCTATGTGCTTCCTGATCCAGGTCCCAAGTTATAGCCTATTACCTCTAAGTTGATCCTGATCTGGAGTTATAGCCTGTTACTTCCTCAATAAATCACTTAACTGTGAGTATGCTCTGTGAGTAGTGTGTGGCCACTGCAACAAATTATTGAATGCAGCAGATAAGAAGAGTGCCATGGGAAGAAGGCTGGTGTCAGAAATGGTGAAGAAGTTGGAGAGTGGAGGTATTATGACCTCCACCTCATATGAACCAGCTTTGTGCTGATCCTGATTCTTATCCCCTGGGAATCTAGACAAGGTCAGACACAGGCATCACAAATGTTGACACCCAGAATTTTTTTAAATTGCAGAATTAAAGAAAATTTGAATATTTTAAGACCACAAAGGACCAATTAAACCCGTTGCCATGGAGTTGATTCCGACTCACAGTGATCCTACAGGACAGCGCAGAACTGCCCCACAGGGTTTCCAAAGAGCGGCTGATGGATTCGAACTGCTGGCCTTTGGTTAGCAGCTGAGCTCTTAACCACTGTGCCACCAGAGTTCCACAAAGGACCAATAAAACCAAAAACCCATTGCCGTCAAGTTGATTCCAACTTATACCGACCCTATAGAGCTACCTATATTTTCTCTATATTCAGGCTGACCTGCAAGTATGCTAATAATATTCAGTTTAGGCTGATTAATTGGAAGTCATCAATATAAATATAACAAGGAGCCCGGGTGATGGTTAAGTGCTCAGCTGCTAATCAAAAGGTTGGTGGTTTGAACCCACCCAGCAACTCCGTGGGAGAAAGACCTAGCGATCTGATCCCGTGAAAACTGCTGTTGTGTGCTGTTGATTCCGACTCATAGCAACCCTATAGGACAAAGAAGAACTGCCCCATAGGGTTTCCTATGTTGAAATCTTTACAGGAGCACATCACCAGGTCTTTTCTCCGAAAGAACAGCTGGTGAGTTTGAACCGACCTGTCAGTTAGCAGCTGAGTGCTTAACCATTGTACCACCAGGGTTCCTTCCCATAAAGATTACAATCTAGAAAACTCTATGGAGCAGTGTCACATGAGGTTGCTATGAGTCAAAAATTGACTCGATGACACTTAACAACAACAAATACAACTTTTTAAAACCCAATTTGTAGTTCTCCTTCAGAAGGGGAGATCAGATATTTAAACCAAACATACTTTGGTTGTTAGAAATACAGGCAGTCCTTGCACTCTGCACATTTCTAACAGAGGCAGTCCCCGGATTACAAACACGTTCTGTTCCTAAGCTGGTCTTTAAGTCGAATTTTAACATAAGTCAGAACAGTTAGGTACAGTTCGTATCTATCAGTTAGTCAAATGTTTGTCTTAGTATACAGTATACAGTGTACCTTTCTATGCATAAAAAAAATTAAAGAGACACTTCCAGATACACTAAAACATCTTTAACATAATACAGTACTACTAATAATAATGTTTTGGTGCGTGTCGCAAAGTAGCACCCGTTTGTTATTACCAGTCATTGTGTGTACCTCAAATTTTTAACATAATAGCCTTTCTGGGGGTTGGTTCATAACTACAGGTTGTAAATTTGTAACCCAGAGACTGCCTGTAGACACAAATTTCAGTCACCATGGTATATTAACTGAGAGTAATTGCATAAAATACAAACTTCACTGCTAGCTGTTCAATCCATAACTCTACATAAATAACGTGCATCATGACAGGGACGAATGACATCATTTCTTTAAAAGTCCATCTGTGACTGGTCATTATACATTATTCACTTCATACAGATAACAAAATGTACTCTAGTTGTGTTACCTCCTTGTCTCCCAGTGATTAATCCATGTGACACTCCAAAAATGGATAATCGAAAGACGGAGTTGGCCAACCAAGAAGTAAAGCAAAGAACTGACATGTAATACGGCTGCAAGTGAAATCTGAATCAAATGCAAATGGAGTTAAAGAAGAAATAGCTGACCGTGAAATGTCGTCACTGCTGCGCCAGTCGAGAACTCTGGATACGCAGTCAGAGGAACGTAGTGAAGGCAAACTTATCAACCTGGATATAAAGTATACTGTAATGACTATATTCTTTCCAAATGTGGGCAGTGAAGGAAGAAAAGGGAACCAAAATTTACTGAGTTGTTACTACATGACACGTATATACTTTCAACTTGGCAACGCTGAACAAGTGGTAGTGGCTTGAAAGACAAGTCATTTTTTGTTGTGGTTTTTTTGTTTTAGCATTGGAGAGTTGAGACTTGCAAGCCAGCATAGAGGAAAAAGGTGCAATAAAGAAAGGAATTAAAGAAGGGTTTCCCAACCTCAGCACCACTGACATTTGGACCAGAAAATTCTTTGCTGTAGAGGGCTTTCCTGTGTGTTGTCGGATATTTAGCAGCATCCCTGTCATCTACCCACTAAACGCCAGCACGTCCCTCCTCCAGGTGGGACAACTAAAAACATCTCCAAGCACTGCCAAACGTCCCCTACAGGATAAAACTGCCCCAGCTGAGAATCACTAGATAAGAAGGAATCATGGAAGGGCCAATTCTAAAGGATGAAATGGATCAAAAGTGCAAGGTAATGTCTGTACAAAGTGCCAATAACATTGCTAATGATCAAACACAAAATTAATTACCTTTATGTCTGGATCTGACAGCTGGTTCTTCAACAACTCAAAGTCATTTGTTTCACCCTTAACAAGAAGAGAAAAAAATTAGGTTATGTTTGCTTCAGGGCTTTGTTCAAGATCCCCAGGCAATTCTTATGTATATATATCCCCCAATCACCTGGGGATTCTGTTAAAATGTAGATTCTGATTCAGTGTATCTGGGTTGGCATGGCAAATTATCAGCAGGGGGTTGAACCAAAACTAATGGGTGGAAGCCCTGGATTGCTTTGGTTTCCTATTAAAGATCAACAGCAGGACTCTTAACTATACCTTAGTATCTTTTGAAATTACAAAAGGAATGCTGTAACTTTCATACATCGATTAAGGATTATAAAATCATGACTATAAAAGTTTAAAAACTGATATTAGTGGAGCCAGACAGCTTGGAAAAAATAAAATGACAACTGAAAAGCCATTCATATTTAACTACGATATATACTTGTGTACTGACATTTGAATAGTGGTACTCTGAGAATTCTCAAAATGTATGAGAAAAAAAATCACTATAATTATCTACTTCAGAGGAAACTAAAATACTATCAATTCATGTGTGGATATAAATGAATACTATGTATACAAACAGATAGTCATTTATATTTTTTTCCCCTCCACTGCTAAGATCTAATAGCATCGCTTTTAAACGACTGCAAAAACAAATCAAAAAAATCTCTATTAGCAAAGCTGACTTACTGTTTCAAAGTAATGCTTAGGTAATTCCTTAGGAAGATAACATGCTCTGGTCTAATGGTTTTTTATTCAAACCAATAGTTTTAAGAAAATATTGTGTAAACATAGCGTTTGAAGAGGTGAAACCTCAGCAAAGACTTGTTACCACTCTAATTTTGAGCTATTATTAAATACTTCATTTCACGGCTGATACCCAAAACTCATTTCATTATGTCTGTTGGTCTTTAGTATAAAAGCTATTGGTGTATTCTGACCAACAAAAACCAGTCCTCACATTATCTCTTCCTTTACCTTTTTGTACTTCAGCAAGACTTCTGTCACAGTTCCACCAAAACGAACAGTTTTTCTTGGGGGAGAATTGAAGAATTCATTCTCTAATGCAAGCATATCTGAAATCCTGCAGAACCAAGATTATCAAACGATTAAGAGCATGACAGAGAATAATAAAAATTATAATAGTCAATATTTACTGAACCTGAACCCTGGTGGTGCAGTGGTTAAGTGCTCAGCTGCTAACCAAAAGGTTGGCAGTTTGTATCCACCAGCTCTCCTTGTAAACCCTATGGGGCAGTTCTACTCTGTCCTATAGGGTTGCTATGAGTCAGAATCAACTTGACAGCAACCAACATCATTCAATGGAACTACTGCAAAAACCTAAACGGTCTTCCTGCTTCCCCTCCTGCCCCCAGTAATTCATTCTTCACTCAGCAGCCAAAGCAGTCTTTTAAACAATTAAAACAGATTGTGCCACCCTGTTCTCCTGCTTAAACTCTCCAATGTCCTTACTGCTGCACTTAGAATAAAAATCCAAACTCCTTACTGTGGTCTTCAAGGTCCTACATTAATCTGGCCCTTGCCTACCTCTCTGACCTCATCTCTGATCGCTTGCTATACTGCAGCCATAGTGCTTTCTGTTCTTCACACTTGGCAAGCTGGTTCCCATTTCACTCCTGCAAACCAGTATCTGTACAAAGCAGCAATAACTTTGTATCTCTATCAGAAACACTTTTTCTCCAAATCTATACATGGAGAGATTCTTGTCTTCATTCAAGTTTACAACTCCAATGTGAGAGCCCTTCCCCACCAGAAATCTACTCACTCTCCCCCTCCTCCATCCATTACTGTTTTACTTCTTCACAGTACTTAGCACTATCTGATATCATCCTGCTCATTTGTTTATTGGCATGTTTACTGTCTTTCCACCCTAGACTGTAAGTTTGTTTTGAGCAGGAATCTTGTCTCTTTTGATTGACTACTGTGCCCAGTGACTAATGTAGTAAGTATGTGCTCAATAAATATCGTGAATGATATTATGCAAAGTGTTTCACAAGCTTTGGCTTATTGAAATAGAGCAGATTACTGACAAAACATAGCATCCTATTAATGAATCTCAAAATTAAATCCCAAAGTATTCTAAGTGGGTTGGGATCTTTGTAAATTAAGAGCTGAATAAAGACTGTTAAACAAATGTGTCACACTAATTTAAAACAAAAAAAAAATTTAGGATGTAATTTGCCAGCACTGACAGCATTTATCTGATAATCCACATGACCCAGAGAATTCGTTCCGTATCTAGACTAGGAAACGGGAGGGAAGGAGGAAAGTGACCGATGGCAGTATCTAGGCCTGGGATGCTATGAGGGAGCCCAGGGCTGAGAAAGGAGGACCCAGGAACAGAGAATGGGCTCATTTATTTTTCCAGCGCCCCCTCCCGCCTCCATTAGCCACTTCGGGGGAATGGGCTCACTCTTGAGGACCTGAGATGACTCACTAGCCTCAGCTCCCACTCCACTTCATCAGCTTTGCCTCAGACCCTTTCATATCCGCTACCCCAACGTCGGACCTGGGCTTTGGTCCCAAACGCGCAGAACGAAGGAGCGCCCTGACCCTTACCCAGTACTCGCGGTCCCCAGCGTCTTGACTGTTGAGGGCGAAGCAGCCACAACCCCAGGCAACCGCGTGTGAAGCATCGGGGCCGCCATTGGGCCAAACAACCTCGACCGCTGCGCCTCGCGCCGGAAGTCGTCCTGCCTCCAGCCACCGCCTCTGTCCCGGAAGTCGCTCGTGTAAGCGACGGCCTTCAGCCAATGACGGAGCCCATGTGAGGAGAGCATGGCGATGTCGGCAGGCTAGAGCGCCGCCAATGCGCCCCCGTCACCCCCCCAGCCCAGCCTCCCAGGCGCCGCTGCTTCTACTTGGACGACTTTCTCTGCACAGTGAGGCGGGGCGCGCCAATGAGCGGCCTCAACTACTGGGGAAAGCGGCTCCTTCTAGCCCAAACCAAAAAAACAAACCCATTGCTGTCCGGTTGATTCACACCCATAGCAACTCCATATGCTACAGAGTAGAACGGAGCTCATTGGGTTTTCTTGGCCGTAATCTTTATGGAAGCAGGTCGCCAGGCCTTTCTTCTGGTGGCTTTGTAAAGTAAATTCCAACCGCCCACCTTTGGTCCAGCGGAAACCGATTGTGCCACCCAAAGAGCTCCTTCTAGCCCTGAGGATCCCAAAGAAAGAGGGAAGGCGCCGGGAGGGGCTAAGCAGTGGCTAATTTACACTGAGTATTAATTAAAACATCCTTCAGTCAAAGTGCTTTTACAAACACGGTAACTGAGCATAAATGAGGAAACTGAGGCCCAGTGGGTAACCCAAACCCTCACAGAGGAAAGGGGCGGCGGAGAATGCGAATCTGGTTGCCTGACCAAGAAGCCTGGGCTCTATAACCTCCACATTATCCTCACGGATGCCCAAGATAATCTTATCCTCAAGGAAACAGTCTTGACAAGTGACCTACTCTAAACTCTCAGAGCTGTGAGTGCTGATGCTGGAATGAGAAATAGCGGGCGGGGGGTGGGGGAGAGGTGTTAACCTTTGAACTTAAATTTTTAAAGGAGGAACAGTAGCCAGCCGACCTAACAAAGCAGCGGAGTCTCTGGGTGGTGCAAACGGTTTAAGTGCTTGACTACTAGCCACAGAGGTTGACAACTGGAACCCAAACCCACCCAGAAGCTCCTCAGAAGAAAGGCGTAGTGATCTGGTTCTGAAAGGTCACAGCCTCGAAAGCCCTCCGGAACAGTTCTACTCTGCACACGTGGGCTGGTCATGAGTCGGAATGGACCAGACGGCAACTAACAACAGGGAGCGGGAGGTGCCGTGCCAAAGCATGGAGCGGAGGAGGCAAAGGTAAAGGAGGGCGTGTTCCTCCCCTCAATTCTAAGCGGGGGAAAATGTTGCAACTTTTGGAAACTATATAACTATCAACAGTACATAAAACCAGTTACAGCGAATATAATTGTTAGGTATAATGCACAATTCTGTTTTGCAGCAGTGTAAAATAGTAACTACCTTTCTGATGTCTCTGTGTAATCCCACCACCATTTGTTCCCTCACTGTTTTAGAAATTCTGGGGAATGTTGGACAGAAGTCAGAAATGTCTCAAGAGCAGAGGAAGTAATTGTGCCCTAGCTGGCAAGGATGCTTGAAGACAGCTGCGTAAGTGAGAAATTTTTCCTCTCCTCCTCCAAAGCGAAAAAAAAAAAAAACTGTTTTAATCACAATTCATCAGCACTCTCATACACTGAGTGGACATGTAACTTTGTACTGTCAAGCAATTTGACAAATATTTTATTCTTTCATTTTAAAAAGTCTGATATGTACAAGAGAATATATGTTAATGTAAATTATGAAACATAATAAAATGAACACCTGCGAATGCACCACCCAATTTAAGAAACAGAACATTAACCTAAACGATTGAAGCTTCCTGTGTGCTCCTCCCAGACCCCACCTTCTCCCTGCTCTCCTCCTAAAGGCAATCACTATCCTGATTTTTAAAACTCATACTTTGTTTTATCCCTAAACAATATATGGTTTACTTTTGTCTTTGAAAAATTTTATAAAATTATTTTCATAGGGTATTATACTGCTGCTTGCTTATTTCAATCAACAATATGCTCCTAAAATCCATCTCTGTGGTATGTAGTTGTGGTTTATTTTCTCTGCCCTATCCAAAAAACCAAACCCATTGCCGACCAGTCGATTCCCATTCCATTATATGAATTGCAATGTATTTATCCACTCTGTCACTAGACATTTATATTTTCTTTTTTTTAAAATTTGCAGTATCACGTACATTACTGCTATGAATATTCCTGTGTAGTTGTCTGATGCACATACGCAAGCATTTTTCTAGGGTAGAATTGTTGGTTTAGAAAGAAACAAAGAGCTTCCAGCAACATCTTCTCCTTAAGCTTGAGC